AGAGAGAGAGAGAGAGAGAGAGAGAGACAGAGATACAGAGAGAGACCGCGCAGGGCGATACGCGAAACAATGCACTGTTGTTATGGAGCGCCGCCACGAGTGTCACCTCTCTATTACTGTAAACCCTCTCTGGTGAACACCCCCCGCAGACGCGGCCTCATTCATTTTTCTCCCACAACCAACTTCATCTCTTCCCGGAAACCATCCATTGCACCTGCACCTTGAACCATTATTCACTTAACCGAATGAATGTTGCAAATCATAAGTGTGTGCGTTCCGGGGGGTGGGGGCACCATCGGTCCGGGCGTGGAACGTCGCAGACACAAACGCGTCACACTAGTCTTTTTTTCCCCGGCAACTGATCATTATTACAATGATAAGCTAGTCTTGACGCAGATCTACGTAATGAATTGTGCGCTAGTCTATAGAATCAATTATACAAGTTGCCGTATGCTAGGCTCTACACAGCAACACAACTTTTTGGCAAACAATCGAGATGACACAGGCATGCATTTGAACGAATTGGTCTTTTTAAGTACAGCTAATATTATGCAGGCATTTCAGGCATCACTTGTTACTTCTCTTTATACATTACTCGCTCAGTGCCTGTAATTATCTACACGAAACCCTCATATTAAGCTATAACGAACACTTGGATTCAACGAGATTTTAGGCCAGGCCCGGCGACCTCGTTGAATCCGAGCTCCACTGTATATAAATGCAAGAAAAATCAATACAAGATCTGTGTGATCAGGCTTTTGTACTTATGCAAGCTGGGAGGGGAAAAAGCGAATGAAAAGAAGTGAAAAATTAATACAGTATAACACGGATAGATCAAACACAGAAGGCTCGAAATCACGCATCCATCGAACTGTGCCTGCGGTCCCTGGTTTTTTCTTCTCCTTAACCTTTGTAAGAAAATTACACAAAGCTCGAATAGTCGAACTAATTACGCCGCCGTAGAGGAATAAAGTCAATGTCCTTTGAGGTGCACTTGAGACAAAATAATAATAAAAATAATAATAATAATCATCATCATCATCCGGTAAAAGGAAAGGTTGGTAAAATATCCCCCCACACCCCCCTTCCACAGAAGCAGTAAGCTGTGCAGTTTTTAGCGCGCTGCTCGACACCCCTTTCCAGGCCCCAGGCTTAGCCAGAGCCGTAAATAAATACCTAATCATTGGACCTAGCTAGGTTTGTGTGGAGTGGACGAGAGGAAAGTTGGGCATTGCATCACATGATTGGCCACCCCACCCCTCTTTGTAAAGGACTGCGAGCTTGGTGGGAAAGGCTGGGCAGGGCTGCATTGTTTCGTCCTTGCGTTGTTTATTATTGTTACGATATGCTTATCCTATCAAATAAATTGTTTCTGTTTTGAAAAATTTGAAAAGCCACAATTTGATTAATGCAGACTAAAGACCGCTCACATTGAGCTGAGCAATTAGACCAAGACTGCTGTGGTACCGGTAGCTCATTACTGATAGAACTCAAAAGTGTTGCTCATTGTGTTTCTCATTCTCAATCTGTCAATTTTTGTTGCTTCCCAGGAATCTCTTACACAGCCAATGCCAATACCCTGTTCACCTATCCCTCGAACTACCGAGGCCAGTCCCGACAAATTCAAGCCATCCATGTTATACTGTACACTAGCAAAGTGGCAGAGAAAGGACAAATCTTCAAAGGACTTTTAGTTAAGTTTTCGGAGAACTTTACAACACTTGCAACACAAATAGGTGATAAAAATGCCGAAGATTTGAGGTGTTACTAGAGAGCAATATATTTAGTTTAAAGGGGGGGGAGGAAAAGATGATAGATGTTTTTTAGTTTTAGTAAGAGTTTTACGCCACTTGCAACACAATAAGGTCATATAAGTGCCAAAGATTAGAGGTATACAAGAGAGTAACAAACACAAATAGAAGGAGGGGAGATAGAGACGATAGATTTTTTTACAGGAAAGAAAGAGCAAACCACACCAGAGCACCCGCCAACCACCCACAGATTTTTTAAAGTTTCGTTTTTGTACATGTCTTATGGCATTTGCAGCCCAATTAAGTCATATTAAATGTTGTAGAGGTGTCACAAGAGAGTAACAAACACATAAAAGAAGGAGGAACGATTAAGACGATACCTGTTCAACTCACTTTAGCCTATTTCAGTAAATTTACGGGATGTGCCGCCAGCCCAGTGGTCTAATCCCGTCCGTGTATTTACGGGATGCGCTTTGTCGATCAATATCTCAAGTGTTTTTCGGTTACAAGCTACGGGAAGCTGCAAGCCAACAGTTGACCCACTTGTATCCTTTAATTAAAAATTTGGTGGAGTTATGCGAGACACTTTCTGAGCTGTAACGGATTAACTTAAGTCAGTCACTCCTTCATTGCAATAGATGATTTTATTACAAATTGGGCGCAAAAAGAAATAGTGAAATCCTGAGATATTGCCATTTCAAAACATTGATAAAATACAAACTATTCTGACAAATTAGGTGCACTTTTCTTTTTTTGTGACAGCATTTATTTATTTCTTTTGCTGCATTAAAAAACTTATGACAGCTTTCACAGTTGTTTTGTGGTCAGCGATTCAATATACCCCAAAACTGTCAGGCTGTAATGGTTGTTGGGTGAAAAATAGCTCAGGCTCAAGAGAGTTAACAGGAAAGAAGGAGCAAATCACACCAGAGCACCCACCAACTACCCTGATAGGAAAGAAGGATCAAATCGCACCTGTTAACCATCCACACAAACAGACGGGACAAATCTACACAAAGGAAGAAGAAGACTGTGTGGTAGTCAGAAAACTCACCATAGCACCAGGATCTCTGTCATCATCACCAAACTGCAAAGCCAGGTTAGACACAGCCTGGGTCACACTCTCGATGTTCATCTTCTCATTGTAGGTAAACCAGTGGTTCTAAAACATAAAAAACTTATTGGTACAGTTTACAATTATAGTCAAACATTACATTACACTTTGTCAAAAAAATACAGAAATAAAACTGTCAATGGCAGAACATTTTTTGGGGAGTAATATAAAAGTAAAATGTTAACACAGCATAACCTTTTATTATCAAAGTCAGAATTCACTGTAACTTTTTATCTTTAAACGTGTTACAAATCTGAATGAAAAAATGTCTTTCCCCAACTGAGGAGAACACAAAAACAGAACCAAACAATAACAGAGCTTGCTGAATAAGGAAACCATTTCCTCCCTAATGAGTGAAACAGTGAAACAAACACAAACATTTATGAACAAATTAAAAAACTCAGAACAACCACCCTCACGAAGATAAAAGTAGTAGCTCACCACAATTAACAGCATAGAGATGGGAATGTCAGTGGAGAAGTCAAGAGAAAGTGGCAAGGAAGAAAAGCCAAACTACCAATGCACTCACCTGTGCCTCAACCCTGGCTCTGTCAATGAGTGTCTTTGAGTCTGCAATCAGGCCACTCATTGCACAAGCTTTAGGGAAAAAAAGCAAGCGTCTAATGGTACGGAAGTAACATATCACAGTATTATGTCCGTCAAAATATTCAGATAAAAGGGTGTTGTAAAACTGAGCAATTAAGACATCACTATATTTCTACGCAAACATTACTGAGACTCTTCTCCCTGCCTTTATAGAATGTGACAATAATATGTTGGTGTAAGAACATCACAGAGAGTAGGCCCCTAATGTAAATTTATGCTATTAGCGATAATGTATGAAAAAGTGAGTGCCAAAGTGTATGTGAAATATATTGTCAGAGCATATCGTCAGCTAGCTATTAAAATGTTAAAAACAGAACATATTTTAAAAACTGCAATTTCTTAATCTGTGGTATTGGTAGCATGTGCTCATAACAATAAAATATTTTGTCGAAGTTAGAATTCTAAATGTTGAAAAAAGCACGTAAAAGTACTTAATGTAGGTTCATTTCTTAAAAGAATGAAACAGGTTTTTCTGTCTCCTGTAAAATTTTGCCTTCAGGACTTCTTACATTTCATCCGCTTACCGACAATATGAGCCTTGTGTGTCAGTAAGAACAGTATAGAGTTAACTGAATACATTATTATTATATTTTTCGGGCCAAAGAAACATATTCAACTTTTTCAGTGAGCATGATTATTTGCTGACAAACACTATAACTCACTGACTACAAGCAATTTTCGCCGGGTCCCCTGGGAACGTGGCAAAAGGAACATATTTTTTAAAAGTCAATACTAGTCACACTTATTGAACAATTCACAATTGTGTTTCCGTTTAGCAGTCTGCTGTCGCACGCAGGAAGCCAGAGTTCCATTCCCAAGAGGGAAGAAATTTGTATCAAGTATCTCTGTCTTTCTGCTGGGATATTGTATCCCTTTCAGCCAAGGTTTCACCTTACAAGTTGTGTCAATGGGGGTGTTAATATAGCCAAACTGATTTTAAAAAACAGTTAATCTTTGAAGATTCACAAAAAAATTGGTATATATGTGAGGCAGCGTGGTGGAATCAGGCTCTCGTCAAAATAATCAAAGTAAAGAAACTTGCATTTTTCCGCAGGTTCGTGAATTTTAATCAAATTTTTGTTTTTTGGCTCAACACCTTTCATGCCCATTAAAGAACTCATTTCTGTACGGATTTTTCTTAAAAACGTTGATTAAACTCACAAAAAAATGTAAATTTTCAGTTACCACGGACTCTTAAGCTAAGGAAATAACCAATCTCTGGCGGCCATTTTCTCACTAATTTTACTTCTGAAAACAGGTGACCCCACCTCCTTCATTCGCAAATATCTCGACTTGTACTCAAGATAAATGGATACTTTTTTCATTGAAATAAAGACAAGTGAACAAGCTTTAAGATGAAACCAAAAACTCTACATGCCCAAAAATTGACGAGAGCCTGATTCCACCACGCTGCCTCACATATATAATATAGTAAATAAAGGTTTATCTTAAATGAGACAGAAACACATTGTCTAAAAAAACCAGTTCATAAGTAAAATTGATATGGGGATACAAAGTGTGGCAATACATGAGTGAACCCCATCATCATCATCAAGTGCCGAATAAGCGGCAGACATCGGCAATCATGGTTCTCCATTCATTTCCTTTGCTTGGATGCTCTTAAAAAAGCTACGTTATCCTTATCTTTCTTGGTTACCCATTTGTTAAGGTTCTCTAAATAGGTTGCTCGGGGCCTACCCCTGCCTCGTTTGCCTTTAATTTTGCTGTATTCTCCCAAGAACGAACAACTGTGGAAAAGAAAATTCATTTCTAAAAGAAATCAAATGAATTTTGGTTTCCTGTTGCCTACTGCCGGTTTGTGTACAGTTTTCTCTGCTAGCCTTTGTCATCCGTTGACAACCCAAAAGGCAGTGGGAGCTTTGGTAGGATTTATGATGCTTCCCGTCGCCAAAATGGTCCCTTCTTCGAGTGTATGAGGTGTTTATTGAAATATAATATATATTATTTATCGATACTGCATGTCTCAGAGTTGACCATTTGAGGTTGCGTTACTGTTTGCTGGTGTAGAAGACTGTGAGTACCAATGCTTTTCAGTTCTGTTATGAAGATTTTCAAATCCATTATATAAGTAAAGTGTAATTATACATCAAAAACAGCCTCAAAAAGCAGACCCAATAACAACAGCTTCTGTATAATAATCAATCACTTCTCAGTAATTCTTTGGAGCGTTTGATTGAAACTTGGCAACTGATTGTAGAATTCATTTCTGCAGTCAGATTTACTAACCATTTAGTAGGCACAGTCAGAGGGGGTACACAGAGTGCATATTTCACCAATTAGAAACGCAAAAGGCAAGCAATTAATAAAACTAGAACTCTTCCGAGCAGAAACCAACTAAAGTATGAATACTACGGACTGTACTCTTAAAGTAAGTTAGAACCTAAAACGTGTCTGTAATATCAATGTCGACACAATTTTTCTAGTTTTTGTTCGTTTTCTCAAAATGATGTTTTAGGCTCACGTACCAGTTGATACAAACCCATAAAATCATTGTTGTTCAAGATACCCATCTGAAATTTTGCACACTACTTTGAAAACTGTCCTTTAAATGTGATTCTTGAATACATAATTAGGATGTTTTTTTAATATTTTTTATCCACTTGCATTTTCAACATCAATACAAATGCACAATTTCGTCCTAAAAGCTACTTTAGAAGGTTTAGGTCATGCAGTGGGTATTCAAAAACCAGAACATGCAAAAATTTTGAAGGTTTTTTAGATAGTCTTTCGAGTAAGGGGACTGGTTTTCTCAAATCGCACCACAATTATTCAAAATATATTTGTTCGGTTAAACCTAATTACAGTCAAGAAAACCATTGGTTGACAAAACAAAACATAAAAGCAACTATTGAAACGTAAAGGACTCTTCTTATATAAACAACTAGCTGGGTACCCATTCGATGAACGGACTCAAAAGTACCAATCGTCAAGTCATTGTGGAATCAGCACGCACTGCTTGTGAACGGAAACCTCACTTGTTTAACCCTATTCGTATATTGTGTTTTACTATCCTATCCATACGACATGGGGAACTCTGTGCCACTTTCCAAAGAGGAAATTTACTTGTTAATCCGATCTGAACGCTTTGCATAGCAGTCTGTCAAAATGATTTTTGAGAAATACTGAAAGTTTCAAAGAGATCTTCGCATTAGAAGTATTCTAAAATGTGAAGAATACAACCCCAAGGGTACAAAATGACCCCAGGGTGTACCAATAGGGGCTAAAATGGCCTCTTAGACAACAGACTTTTTTCTCAAGATTAAATCTTAACGAAACTAATGAAAAACTGAAAATTAAACTACAGTGACTTCAGACTTTTTTCCTTTTAAATGATTCGGAACCACCGTTAATTTTTTCTAATTCGAAACTTTATTTTAGGCGACCAAAAAGACAAACTTTCACAAATATCATAAATATAGATACTCACCTATGTGCTTGTCTACTTCCATGATCTTCTCAATACTAGCTGCCTCGATGAGAGGTGAGGTAACTCTCTTCTCAACAGCAAGCACTACACCCTCACTCGTCTGAATGCCAATGGCAGTAGACCCGAGCTAAAAAGCACCATAAAAACCAAGCAAAACAGAAAGTTTGAGTCGGTCCAGGCCACGAAATCTTCCCAGCAAAATTACAAATTATATTCAATTCAATATAATCCAGCTTACAAATCCCAGTTTAGCTTGTCGTAATCAATATGAACCTTAGAGGACAGAGAGAGAGATAAACTACAGCCATGTGCAAAGGGAACAGAGAAGAGCTGGAGACAGCACTGTTGAATGCCACCAGAATTAGAATAAAGCAGTTCCTAACTTACATGAGACTAGTGGGAACAATTCATTTACATGTGAGTAACATTTATCAAAAGTGTATAACAATAAATTACATTTTTAAATTGATCCCAGAAGGGTAATTTGGTTACAATGTTAAACCTACATACATACACATACACACACACACACTCACACACATATATCCCATCAAACCTCGTTGTACCCCCCCACCCCCACCCCATTGTACCACCAGCCCAGCTTACCGCCAGGTTTAGCCAATGTACGAAAAGAATCCCTCATATAAACATAGAATTTGCACTTTTACACCGCCACCAGTAACAGTTGTACAGTCTTAATTAAACTACTGTAAATTTACACCATTGTACCTCCAGAGAACGGCGCCCAGCACATCTACTCGGTGGTTGCTTGACAATCTTTCAACCAAAAGTCTCTACAAGCTAGGCCTAGGTCTAGATCAACCACTTTTCGGGGATTTGATCTCTCCCCGCCCATCTCATCTCCAAACACTTGAATTAGTTTTAGTTTTAGTAAGAATTTTACGGCACTCGCAACTGCATACGGTCATATGAGCGCGCGAAAAAAAGTTGGTTCTATTCGCAACAGATCATTGCACAGCCCGATTCTGGTCAACACCTCTACAATAATGCTAAAATACTTTTAAAAATTTGGTGTAAATAGATTCTTAACTTTAAAAAACTTTAAATAACATGTACAATTTTAAATCATGTATATCACAGTTTTCCATAACGGCCAATGGCCTTTATAAAATCAAGGACTCTTTTGGGATCAACTGTTGGGATCAACAATGGAAAACAGGTCTTGCAATTTTTAAAATCTAAAATATTTTCTTCGGGTCTCTCCGAAGTCTAGACATTCTGTTAAAATGTGTCTAAAGGTAAAATCAGTTAATCTGTGTTGCATCCGACACAAAACAGCTTCTCTTCTCCCTGAAGGAGGTATTTGTGCATCAGGGACCTGTGTCCGATGCGTAATTGAGTATAAGTGACTTCGTCTCTTCTGGAGAGGCCTGAAGGTTTTCACGGACCCAGTTTGGGCTTGATGTTATGAAGTTTGTCTGTTTATTCCAATGAGTTTCCCACAGACTGGAGGTGTAGTTTTTGACTTTATTTTTAAAGTTAGTCTGTGGGAGAGTGTTCGTCGTTGATCCCAACAGAAGGGACAAGGACTCTTTCGCCAGGAGGTCCACTTGCTCGTTTCCTCGGATGCCCACATGGCTAGGTAGCCATGCAAACAAGATACTTTTCCCAGCTTCAGCCATATATATATATATATATATATATTCTAACTTGGCTCCTTCTTACTGCTGTCTCTCAGCCACACCCCTGATCTTCTGGTAGGAAAGATCTACTCCTAGCCTTCTCGGACAAGGGCGAAAAATCTCAGAGGTCCCGTGAGCAAGTTGCATACGTTAAAGATCCCTTGGTGGTCTAAAATCAATAAGAGTAGGCTTCAGCCGCCACACAAGCAAAATTCGAAATTTCCTACAAACTGGAAATTAGGAGCGGGCACGAGAAGTAGGTACCACAAGTGAAAATTTAATTTAAAGAATACCAGAACATGACTATACTTTCCATATAGTGCTCAGTGAAACAAGAACTATGAAAAAAGAAATTATCAAAATCCATCAACAAACACCTGAGATATGATGTTTCAAATATTTGTTGCACTTATAAAAATCGTGACGAGTGCGCAACTGGCTCACAACGCTGTTTCATGATCACACTACGTGAAAACCGGTCTTGAAAAAAAAAAATGATTTACATGTTCTTACACATAAACACACAAACTTAGCGTAAAAGAAATTAAAATATAATTCATGTAGCTATTGTAGTGATTATAGTAGTTCAAAACTGAAAGAAAACATAAAAATGAAGTTTAAAAATGGATGCCAATGGCTTGGAACCCCATTTTCCAAGATACATAAAATAAACATTTAAGGCTGGATAGCTATCAAAATGCAAATCTCATAACATATACATACTGAGACGTTACTCAATTTTTTTAAAGGGTTAAAACTTAAATACAAGAGAGATATAGTCGTATCCAAGGGGTATGCTGGCCAAAAATGCCTAAGGGGAAGAAACCAATGACAAAATTGCAGTTTGAGGCCATTTTTTAGTAAGTCACAAAAAATCAACTAATTATGCTAGACAGATGTCAAATATACCACTGGAAAGTTCATTCAAAGCTCTATATGAAAAAAGTAGTAGTAACTGTATATCAAGACTGGGTACTAAATGCTGCTACAAAAAATTAGGCAACACTTTGAAAAATTAGCAGTGTTCAACTAAACATACGACTTTTCAAAAATTCATAAAAAATCAAATAATTATGTTAGACAGATGTCAAATATACCACTGGAAAGCTCATTCAAAGCTCTATCTGAAAAAAGGTAATAGTAACTGTATATCAAAACTGGGCACTAAAGGCTGTTACAAAAGGGTAGGCAACAATTCTGAAAATTATCGTCGCTCAACAAAACATCAGACTTTTCAAAATTTCATTAGAAACCACAAAAAGCTACTGGATAGCTCTCATTACAAGCTCTATGTGATAAAAGTAGTAGCAGCTAGTTTGAGTACTTAATGACAGTTACAAAAAAAGTAACTTAAATAATAATTCTAAATATATGTATATGATGTTCCGCTAAACATCAGCTGAATTTGCAAAGATGCAAAAACAATCAACCAAATAAGTCAGAGAGAGGTGAATAGATCTATGCCACTATACCACTGGAAAGCTCATTACAAGTTCTGTGTAATAAGAAATGAATGACAGTACTTGTAACTGTGAAGTACTTTTTATATTAATGACACTAAGTAAGGAGATTGCTACTGATGATGCAGAGTCCACATTAGAGCAGGCAGCTGATATCAACTTGCGTCAGCTGACCAATTTAAGAGTGAGTCTGAGTTAGTTATCTGCCCCAATAATACATCTTGATGTTTTATTGGATCATCTTTTGAATTTAACAAAAGATGCAGTTGAGAGATCAGTCTCAGTATTTTCAGTTGTTACCGTTGGAAGACAATCTATTTAAAAAAAGCTTTCAAGGTATACCTGAAGTGCTGCATGCAATATCCCCTTTAACTTGATTTTTAAAAATTTTGTTACAATGATTTGCAATGGTTTTAGTGTTCTGCACCTAAAAATATGACGGCCCGACCCTCAAATGCAAGCAACGTAATGTATAGAGATCTAAGAGCCAGAGTGAAAGTATTTATTTTAACATATTTTCTAGGTTGGGGAGGACAAAGTAGAACTGTCATTATTCATGATTATTGTAACTGACGCAACGGTAAGGCAACAGAGGGTGAACACGTAGAATTTAAAAATAAAGAAGTAGTCTGCAATGCCGTAGTTATAGCCCAAGAATTTTGACAGAACGACATTATAGGATCAGATCTAGGCCCAAGCCATACATAATACATTTATGGTTCATATTTTTATGAATAAAAACACCTTTGGTCAACTGGTTATGAAAAGTAGTTGCATTGAGGTTCAAAAAAACTAAAATAAAAAAAGAGATAAAGTTGAAAATGTGCGAAACCGGAAGAAACATTACTACTTTCTGTTCCGATGGATAGAGACCAAGATCATTTGGCTGTTCCGTCAGTGTGTATTGACTCCCGTGAAATGACCAGTAGCTTAAGTACTAATACAATTTTTTTCTCGGAAAAACCTGAAGCATGATCTATCTTAAACCACTAAAACGTTGAATTACTTATCAATGAGATTGAACAAATCACACGGTTGGTTGGCAGATTAGTATTTGTTACGCGTATTCCCATCGTAATCCGTATGCTTGCCGGTCGGTATGCAAAGTGCCTCGACAGCTGCCTCTTCAGCCATTGTAACAGAAAGTGAGTTTCCCCGATACACGCATCCACAGTTTGAAATCCAATAGCGGTACCAAGATAACAACTAGTTTAATAGTACTTGCTTGAATAAAACAAATATATTGTGAACTAGCTTTACTTGTAAAGCACATCTAAAAAAATGTTAATAATACTGAGATTTTATCAAAACTTCTCAAAACATTGTCTTTCCACTTCAAATTTTACCTATTTTTCAAAAAAATCCTCGCCTGCCTAGTATGGGGGTAAAGGTCAGCTTTTGACCTTTCTAATAATGCAGCAGTTATTTCTGTACACATTATCGCGACAGAGCAGTTTTTGAAAGAAAAAGAGTGGCTCTGGCTAGGTTTCGATGCGAGCGCCGGTCGGACGCAAAATGCGTCATTTTCCCAAATTTTAGAGCTATATTAAACATATTTCCACACGTCCATTCTATCCACGAACAACACAGATATTAGAACAAAACAAGCTCTTCAAAAAGGTTTTTATATCATTAAAATCAAGCAATCATGAGTGAAAAGCTACGTTTGTGAAGTTGATCACTACGACAGTTTTCCTCCTCGGGAAGAACTCGACTTGCCGCGATCGGCGCACCGTTTGTGGTACCTACGAGAAGAGCCGAGTACTCGTTTCCCGCGAGAAATGCCCTTCCTGTCGCTGCCCGGCCACTAAACTACTGGCCGGTACCGAGAAGTGATACCGCTCGTTGGCTTGACAAAACAGGTAACGAGAGAGAGAGAGTGAGAAATGACACGTAGACAGTGCCACCCATCACTGTGCCGTCTTGTGTGTGAAACTGAAAGGGAGGGAAGAGGGTGGCAAGGCGAGGGGGGCTCAGGGCTCAGGCCAATGATGACCTTACGTATAACCTCCGTGACCTAGGCCTAGGTCTCCCTACCTTACTTCACCGCTTGCGTCTGCGCAACAGGGCTAACCTAGTATAGGTCCCGACCACGATCTAACGATGAGAGAAGAGATATCCCGGCCGCGGCCGGCCTTCTCGTTCAGCGAGCTGCTCGTCCAATGGCACGAGACGAGAATTATGTCACGAGACGAGAAGCACTTCTCGGGAGGTCCCAGTAAGAAAAAGGTCAGCTTCCCGGTCTGCTCGCTCGGGAAGAAAAAAGTGCTTCCCGCCCGTCTCTACTGAAAATGTTTAAAGTGTCCCGCGTGTTCATATGACCTTATGCAGTTGCGAGCGCAATAAAACACTGACAAAAACAAACACAGTGACATTGTGCTTTTTATGAAGGCTCTTTCAGCGCGTCTGTTTATGCTGATTAGCTGAGCATGTCTCGCAATCAATTCTCTCTGCCTTTCTCAGACATACATTTTTTTATTCATGGAAGTATTCAACAGTCTTTACTATACATGACATACAATAGATACTCACAAGCATTGTAGAATATCAATGTAGGCTTGCTCTTGCTCATTCGGCCATGAAAAAAATAATAGGCCCCCAAAATGCCAAAATTGTTCAACACCCCAAAGTAAAACTACTTCAAATTTGGAAAGTCTAAAGATCCATCTTAAATTGTACTTAGTGCCAAATTTCTAAACAATTGGATGATATTTATGGTTACTAGTGGGCCCTTACATAAGTGCCAAAATGACCGGTTTCTGGGTACGACTTCGGGAAAAACTCCAGGGATTGAGTGAGTTAAGCTATAATATAATAATAACAGATTCAGAACAAAGAAGAATATACCTTAATAGCTTCAATAGCATATTCAACTTGAAACAGCCTTCCTTCTGGAGAGAAAGTGTTGACACCTCTGTCGTACTCAGACCTTGTGAGGAACATTTTCAGTTGTCAAAGCTGGTGGATTCCTGCGAAAAAAAGAAAAAAAAAGCACACATGTATTTATTTCACAGAAAGTCTCCACACAAAAAAAAAAGATTGAATCATTTTTCAACAGAGGTATATTAGTCTTCATAGATTTTCAACAAAATTCAAGATGTCTTTCCATTAAGGCTCGTGAAAATGATTTTGAAATGGCATTCTCATCCGAGAAGACAATGCATAGGAGGAAAAAAAACTTTCCATTAGAGAGCCCACCCTAGGATCCTGCAATACTGGAATGGATGAAAATCACTCCCATTGTCCAAGTTGAAAGCGTGTTGCCTGGACATGGAAATCCATTATCCTGCTTCGGTAAATAGTAGTTATCTTTCCATTTCAATGGTTCAACATTTGCATCTCTCCTCGACGCTTAGGCTTAGGGACAACAAAGGATAAAAAAGGCGGATTTCACGGTAAGGGCCCGGGAGGCAATTTGAGATTGTCATTTTGAATATAAATCACCCACATGTCATTTTGCTGTTTTGTTTTATGTCATTGAATGAATAAGAAAATCAAGAAAATCTGTTTGCTTTAATTATTTATGGGTCACAGGTAATTTCAAATGGGTGCAAATGCCCAAATCCAGCCTTACTGTGATTCTCCACTTTCAGAATCCCAGCATTTCGTATTTTATCATAAAATCTTTAAATTAGAGTATGTGAGAATAGATACCAATTCATGGCTAAAAACTGTTTTTTAAATTTGTATTTGATTTTTATCGAGTTTCCAGACAAAGGAAAGTCAAGCCAAGTAAAACTGTATTTTTCCACTGAGACAACAACAACTTTTGTACTTCCAACTTATTCAGTCATGATTTTAGCGGTTTGTTTAAGTAAAGTATGCATACACTTTTAATTCCAGTGGACATTTTGTTAATAACGTGCCTTAACGGAAACCTGTATAAAACAAAAACCTATCTTAACGGAATGTTCCCGTTCCCCCCTTGATATATTCCTCTTTAATTACCTGTATAAAATGGAAATCTGTCCAACGCGGAAACGGAAATAAAAATCCGCTCCCTTCCGAGGGTTTCACCTGTCACGGAAAACGCTTTGCCCGCTCAACCCTGATTTGAAACAAAACTCGCAAGTTTGGTTCCGCCGGCTCTAAACTTAACGCTATGGCCATGCTGCTGGGCGAGGAAGAGGAGTAGGGGTGCAATTTGGGGGTAGATGTTACCCCATTATGTGAGCCCTAAGCGATGCATATGGTCAGTGTAGTGAGGGTGTGAAATCTCACAACTTCCTGTGAGAGTGCTCGAGTAGCGAGCCACTACTGAAACTTTCCTGGGTAGCCAGAAGCCAGAGGTGTGAAATTAGATTGACCAATGCCTGCCCACCTGATCGTACGGCCAGCCGACAAAAGAGTTCCTCCAATCGTTGTTACATGATGGCAGTGAGGGGTGGCATTGGCGGGTGGGGCTAAGGGTGGAATCAAAGGAAATGTTCAAACGTTTCTGTTTTTAATTGGTCAAACAGTGGTCCTATGAAAGGCAAGCACTGGTGGTAATTGGATAAGCATGTCAATATCAGACAGGATAGCAATTGAGAGGTGTGAAGTTTTCACCACTGCTTGCAGATTGGACAAGCGATCCTTGATCCCACCGGCTGGGCCTTTCCCCCCCTTCGCCCTCAAACCTCCACCTCCCCCTAAATTCCCCTGTCTAAGACGGAAAATGTCTAAGACTTAAATTTTTTTCTGGCTCCCTTGGGATTCCGTCTTACGCTAGTTCGACTGTATAATTTCCTAAAACTATTAACATTTGCAGCAGTTTCTATAATTTGGTCTTTGCAAGTCTGTATGAATTGGCGTTTGAATTTTGCACTTTCGGTAGTTTTCCAATGAACACCAACTATGTAATACAAAAAAATGACACTATATGTTGTGCAGTGTTAAGGATGGTGATTTAGAATGAAATTTTTGTTAAAAGTTAAATGAAGTGGTTTAGGATGCTGGCTGTTGTGGGTGTTACATAAGTTTTGAAATAAGGTTGATTTTTTTCGGTAAATATTTTTTTCCTGAACCTTCGCTGTTTCTTTTGTTTACATATTTGAATTCCTTTTCTTGTAAAGAGATTTAACTTGATATATGTGTCCCTGCCCGTCAATATCAGTCATATGAAGGAAATTTCAAAACTGAGTTAACATTATTTTCAAAAACCAACACCTTTTCCCTACAATTTAAAACAAGAATGAAGTAAATATGACCATATTTGATTTTAATTGAGCAAGGTGAGGAAACACGAAAAGGTAAAAAATGGCCTCTGAGAAAAAACTTATGAAAAAAAAGAATTTTCACAAGAATGGACTTTGTGTCAAATGCAACAAAATAGCCTTATACTAGTTAAGTACCAGATTCCTTTATCTCGTCACCCTAGCTCACAACAAACCACACACACCTCCAAAATAAATCAAAATAAAGCATTTATAGTCGATTTTAGTTGTTTATTTTTATCTTAAATGAAGCAGAAGACATCAAACGTTCAAAGGATCAAAAAACAAAAAATTCATAGAAAGTGACGTTTTTCTCTTTAAAATAGCACACTGCGTCTTACGACAATATTGAGCAGGGGAGACAGATATATGGAAAATGACTAAGTAAATTACAGGTCAAAGTTATTAATAGTGACCAATAACTTTGCAAGTTATCTTGACCTCGTAGAGCATCTCTCGGCCCAGATATCGATCGATAAAGTGATGCGGTCCAGCTGAGCGACTACACGCTATGCATTATTAGTTCCGCTGTGCTAATGTACTAATTGTTGAGTTTATCGCTTTTTGCACTTTGTTTGTATTTATTTGATCGCTTTTTATCATTTTTTCATCAGCTCTACGAAAAGATATGGTTTTATATGCCTTTTATCATCTGTTGAGTTGTAAATGGTCATTTTTCAGTAGCAGGTATACATCTCGGGTATCTCAGCTAGTATCACCCCACCAAACCCTCATGTTTACAACCGATCGGCCACAGCGGCGGGCATTTTTGGCGGGTTACTTCCGGTGAAATGCTGAGCGCTTCTAGGGTTAAATTAATCTAGATCTAGATCTACCGTACTGATGAAATTTTTGGCCTGGACCCCCTAGACCTACTTAGGAAATGACTTCTTGTTATTGATAAGGTTGGTCTTGACTTGAAGAGTCGGCACTTTTACAGTAGTTCCCACCCCGCTTGGGCCTGGATCTAGATCTATTATAAGCTTTGATGTTTGAGGTGCGGCGAGCGAGAGATATCAAACCTAACTGCAGAACATCCCCCCCCCCCCCACCCCTCTATATTTTTATTGCAGTGGCTACATTCAGGGTGCCATGAACGTAGTCTGCAGGCTACGTTCACGTCGCCCTGAATGAAGTTGGCAGGCTACGTTCACGGCGCCCTGAATGCTGTTTGCAGGCGCTGTTGAGGCTACGTTCACGGCCCTCAAGCTTCGTTTAGACGGAGCGTCCACAGTCGGTTTAAGTAAGCCGGTTTTAGTCAGTGACGATAGTGATGTACATTTAATATTTTGGCCTGCTTCAAGCCAGGGTTGGGTTGATTTAAATCAGTTGATTTTTTAAATTTAAATCAACTTGATTTTTTAAATAAAAATCAGTGATTCAAATCACTTTTTTTTTTATTTATTTTTATTCAGTTTTTACATATTTCAACATTCAGAATTCCTTTCCTTGGTTTCATAAAACAGATATAAGGTCAAGTAGACTAATATAATCATGCTTAAAAGTCTGCTTTCCCCCCTTTCACTGAAAAATAATACAGTATTCAATTCACTTTTTTTTCCATAATTGAAATCAGAGCTGGGTTGATTTAAATCAGTTGATTTTTTAAATTTTAATCAACTTGATTTTTAAAATAAAAATCAGTGATTTAAATCACTTTTTTTTAAATAGTATTCAGTTTTTACATATTTAAACATTCAGAATTCCTTTCCTTGGTTTTAATAAACAGATATAAGGTTTAGTAGACTACTATAATAATTCTTAAAAGTCTGCTTTCCCCCCTGTCTCTGTAAAATAATACTGTATTCAATTTACTATTTTTTTATTATTGAAATTAACATTTTCTTCTTCTTTTTAGACAAACACAAGCGCGCTCACACACACATTGTAATAAATGCAAGTGTATCTATGCATAATTACTTTTAGACTGACATTTTCTTCATTTTTTTGTCTGTAGTCATAATTCACTGATATAGCAGATTAAGGCTTTCTTTTGCAGTTGCTTAAATTAATAATCATTAATTAAAATAAAGACAATGCATTTTGCACTAAAAAGAACTTACTTTTAGCCACCAAAAATCCCAAACTGTGTCGACATTTTTTTTTAAATAAAAAAAACATTAAAAATCCAATTTAAAATTTAAAAATCTGATTTAAATTTTAAAAATCGATTTATTTTTTTTAATTTAAAAAATCAAAAAATCACCAACCCTGCTTCAAGCGCTCCATCCCATGAGATGAAGGAAAATGAAGAGGTGATCCTTGACCGATCGACCATTTGTCGTTTTCTCTTACACTGAGCTCCGGCTCAGAGCTCTCCAGTGTAATGGTAAATGACAAACTCTCAATTAGGCCTACGCAGCAACGCATTAGGATATATATATATATATGATAAAAATGTATACGCCTACCAAGATGTTTTAATTGCCTTATCACGCGTCCGGGCGAGATTTGGGCGCGACCTTGTGTTAGCGCGTGACGGCCCGTGATAATAATAATAACAATTACATATATATATATATGTAATTTGCCTTGGTGCCTTTGCAATTTGCCGCAATGCCCTTAAAATCACAGGGTCAACCGCGGCAATTTTTGTCGTGCCCTTGTTTTTAATTTTTTTTTTATGTGACGCCATGAAAATAAATCAATATAATTTGTCCTGTGCTGTCACTTGTGAAAAAAAAAAAAGAAAAGAAAGTTATACAATGTACAAGCGTCTTGTCGGGTTCGCCATCGTGACCGGTCATTGAACCTACATCACAAGATACGGCATC